TTCGAACCTACGCGGGCAGAACCCAACGCCTTAGCAGGGCGCCGCCTTAACCACTCGGCCACGTTGCCGAGATTTGTATTTTTATTGAATTTGTTTCGCGTCCATAGTAAGAAAATAATTATTCTTTTTTCTTTTTTTATTTATTTTTTTTGTTCCTCCTTTTCTTTACTCCTGTATAGGTAGCATAAACAAGTGCTGATTGTAATATAAAAAGGGAAACAGAAAAAGAATAAAAAGAGGGGGAAAGAAATAATACTACAAGAAGGACGTGAATAAAAGTAAATAAATTAAAATAATAAATTAATTAAAAAGATAATTAAATAACCGCAAAAAGTCGGCAACGTGGCCGAGTGGTTAAGGCGGCGCCCTGCTAAGGCGTTGGGTTCTGCCCGCGTAGGTTCGAATCCTGCCGTTGTCGTTTCTTTATTTATTATTAAATAATATTATTAATTTAATTATATGCATTCAAATATATTTATATATTTATATATATGTTATATTAAGAATAATATATAAAGATATGCCTCTCTATTAGATAAATGTAGCAACAACAATATAATGAATATACACCTAAAATATCAAGAAAGAAGGCAAAAAAAGAAAGTTCGCCCTTATGGCTAAATTGAATCCATCTTTGCATTCTTACATCTCTATTTATTCAAGCAACTATCTGCCTCCCATAAATGGGGGAGGGGGGCCCCCCATACCAGGCATGCCCATACCCATTGGGGGGCCACCCATAGGCATTCCCATGGGGGGCCTCATGGGAGGCGGGGGCCCACCCCCCATACGTGGGGGACCCATACCGCCCATGGGGGCCCCTGGGGGAGGGAAGCGGGGGGGTCCCCTTTCGTCGCCGTCAAAAGGAGCCCTAGGGGGGCCCCCACCACCCATATCCCTACGAGGTCTGCCACGGGGCTCTCGTATTTTCGTGCAGTTACCCATGTGGGTTGACATCACTTCACCAGGTGGTGTGTTGGCGACAATTTGAACTGTACGTACACCGCAGCACAGCAGAAGCAGCAGAAACAGCTAATCGCAGGAAATCGCAAACAAACAAGCAGCAGACAGACACCCTAGATAAACGCAGTACCACAGCAGCAACTGCAGCAGCAGAGGAACTTACTTGCACGCATTGCAACTGCATGGTCTATGAATGCTGGCGCCTGAAATGTACTCTCCCTAAGCAGATCTGTAGACGCAGCAGCACAACGCAGCACAGAAAGCACACCATAGTCTAACGCCTGCATTAGCAACAACAGCAGCAGCAGCGTCATCAAAAGCAACATCACTTGGGCAAGATAATTGCTTTTCCTTTGCATGGCATACAAACAGAAAAACATATCTCTGCATGCAAGCAAAAAAAAGTGCCTGCTTCTTGTGCAAACGCCATCAGAACAAAGTACGTTTATAGTATATGTGGGGGTCTTTCCTAAGAGCCCCTTGACAGTGGACTTTCCATAGACTTCTCGATGTATTTCACGGCTTGCATCCTTATCCACGTGCTGTAAAAGTAGAAAAAAGAAATGAAGGCAAAGAGTGCATGCAAGACAGGCGCTTCTCTATACGATCCACATCTTCCCTCCCCAGGAGCCCTGGCACCATGGGGAGGAAAGATCGGCATAAAGACCTATATGGAGTATTATTTAAACTTAAAAATGACATTTCATGGGAATTTCGAACGAATAGAAGGTGGTAGTTGAGGTGTCGACACACTTTGGAAGTATTCAACTTTCTGGTTGATGTGGCGACGGCCGCTTGCATGCTGACGCCTGCCCGCCGGGGAAGAGTGGGTGAGGTAAATGTCGCAATACTCGCAGTAGAACTTGGGCATTTTCAGAAAACAAGAGAAAATATCATGACAGAAGTGAAAAACAACCAAGAAGGGGCCGGAGGAGGCGTCGTGCAAACTCCCCTGGCCTGAAACGCCGCAGAGGCAAAGCGGCGATCTTAAGGTATTTTAGAAAACCTTTTGAACGAAAACACTTGCAAATACAAAACAGCAACACTAAAGTACAAAAACAGGAAAACTACAGCGTGATCGGGCAAGAAACCTCGACCGTTCAGAACAGAGCAGCCGCCTGTGGGACCCACAGAGGCGCCGGCATAACTTGGGCGCTTTAAGCGTCACTTAGGATTATTTTGCGCTTAATTTAATGTTCCGCTTTTTGTTCCCTCTTTTTCAACCAATGAAAAGCACAAGACCCACGAGGATACGAAAGCCCCGCGCACAGGCGGCGGCTGCCGCCGCATGCACTCGTCCTCGCAGTGCAACCGAGTTTGTTCAGACACTTAGTAGCTGCTGTTGCAGACACCTTCTTCTCTTGGCTTTTTAAATATTAAGAGCACCAACAAACTATATTATGGGAAGACGGGGCGCTAATAAGTAGCCATTTCCCCCCAGGGGGTTCTCCGCGCCTGCAGCAAAGGAAGGAGTGGATACGAGCTGCATAGCAGAGGACAAAGCTACACCCTCTACAGAAGGCAGCAGGAGCTCCCACCAGCAGCAGCTGGTGGTGGTGGTGCTTCTTCTGCCTTCGCACACACTGACACTGAAAAAGCTATTGTGTACCGTGCGTTGATGTATTGACAGGAGTTGAAGAAGCAGCATCAGCAGCACAAGCAGCAGATGCAGCAGATGCAGCTATGGCGTCTCCATGTAATCTGCGCTGCCTGGTGCCTCACTGGGAGGCGGTAACAACCTCCTTGGGGCGTATACCTGCATCGGCAGCAGCAGCACCAGCAGCAACATTGAAACGAGCAGCAGCAGCACCAGCAGCGTCTGGTATACGATATGTACATTCCATCTGCTGCAACAGTAGCAGTACGAGCTGCATCATCAGCAGGAGGGATTGGCTGTTGGTGTGTGAGCGTTATTCCTGCCACAGCAGCAGGAGCAACAGCAACAGCAGCGGCATCTTGCTCGTGAGGGGTCTGCGCAGCAGCCTCAGCAGCCTATCAAGCCCCAGCACGAGTAGCATCTGGCTGAGGAGTACCAGCAGCAGCAGCAGAAATGACAGCAGCAGCTGCTGCAGCGAGGCATTACGCCCCCGTGTCTGGAGCAGCATGAGCGGCAGCACTTGCATAAGCGACAGAAACAGCAGCAACAGCAGGAGCAGTAGCCCGACCGCAAGCAAAACCACCATGATCAGCAGAACCACTCCAATCATAATGAGCATCACCAGCAGCAGCAGCAGCAGCATCAACAGCAACAGCAACAGCAGCAGCAGCAGCAGCAGGAGTAGGGTATGGTATAATTTATTATTAATTCGTACCTATAGACGACCTATAAATTGGAAGAGAGTTCGTTTTCGTGCTCGTGTATCGTACTTCTTAAAAAAATCTCTTAAGCCAAAAAATCATTCCAGAGTACTCACTAGATTTAGACTCACCAGGTACAACTCCTGCTGCTCCTGCTGCTCCTGCTCCTGCTGCTGCTGCTCCTGCTAGTAATGCTGCTGCTGCTGCTAGTAATGCTGCTGCTGCTGCTAGTAATGCTGCTGCTCCGGGTGCTGATGTTTATTGGTTGTTAGGGTATCTCTGTGCACGCTTTTTTGTGCTTATTAGTTTTCTTAGTAGCTTAGTACATCATGCTGCTGCTGCTGCTGCTGCTGTTGTTGTTGCTGTTGCTGCTGTTGCTGCTGCAGGTTTGGGTGGGAGAGATTGCGTAGAGGCCGCAACGGAAAGAAATTTAATTTGGTGGGTAAAAGACAAAGACACGAATAAATAAAAATAAATAGGGACAAAGACACCAATAAATAAAAATAAATAGGGGCAAAGACACGAATAAATTAGAATAAATAGAGATAAAGACACGAATAAATAAAAATAAATAGAGATAAAGACAAGACACGAATAAAATAAATAATATAATATTGTGTCTTTATTTTGTTTTATTGTCTTTGCTGTTGGCTGTCTTTGCAGCCTTCCCTTTGTGTGGCTTCTGTTGCTGTGTCTTTGTCCTGTCTTTCGTGTCCTTGTTTGTCTAATAAATATAGGTATTATTTATTTATTTATTTATTTATTTACTTATTTATTTATCTATTTATTTATTTGTTTATTTGCCTGACTATCTAACTATCTTTCCTTACAAATAAATTGACTAATTACTTGTATTATTTAATGTATTTATTTATATTATTATTAGCTACCTGCTTATATATATATATATATA